TCATCCATTTACTTTTTTTCCAGGATGTCCCGTCATTATCTATCTATTATTCAATCGCAAAGTTCGTGCAGCTTTATTGGTTTTTATGACCTCCTCCTCCCAGGTAATCCTCCTACAGATTATTTTTTCGTAGTTTAAGTAGTCTGATTCGTTTGGAATCTGATCTTTTACTTCCGCTTTTTTCAGGATAAATCATCGAACTTCATTAGAAAAAGCGCCGACAATCGAATGATGTTGTTGCAATTGACTCCGAGCCAGAATCAAAACACGACGGCTGCTGTGAGAAAATTGACAGAACATGAGAACGAATTGCAATGCAGGATACACCTGACAAGTGACTACGAGCCGAACCAAGTGGAAATCAAAGTGGATCCCGAAAAGCAGGAGCTAACTAATTAATTGCTATTGTATATTTGTTTACACTCATTTTGCTTCCCTATCAACTAGTTAGAACACTCTTGTCATGTGCTCAAAACCTGTTTTATGAATAAACTAGACTGGTTGTTCTCTAGAGACATTCTGCTGTCTGAACATGATAGAGAATCAGAGACGTAATTATTTGTAAAAGGCAGCTCATATATGTTTTGGTTGCTCATTCAACAACTTACGATTCAATATGATTCTGATGCATTATTTCAATCGAACCTACTTCGAGCAGGATACTGATCAATGGCCTATGATCTCATTGATTTTCAAAATCGAAATAGTTTTAATTATTTTCAAGTAGGTCTTTCATAAATTTTTGATAAACAGCATTTCTGTTTAGTATCTTGCACACGTGGCTCTTTCACTGGATCAATCTGAAATCCGTACAGTTCCATAATAATTGTGCAAGCATTATGATCATCCTTTACATTCAACATATCGTCGCAGATTGTGCCTAGATTGGTCAAAGAGTTCTTCTATTACAAGATAATTTCACAGGTAGGACAGCTGATTAAGAAAATCTAAAAGTTATTTTTTGGTGGGTTTGCATTAATCACTGTTATTGTTTTCCTCATAACTGAATTTTCGGTCAAGGAAAACAATATTTTGTGCCGGAACTAGAACGATTGGTTTTTTGATTGGGTCCCAGAAATAGAGGGGCACTTTTCAAAGTGTGTTGTTTGAAATTAAAAATTTCTGTGAAAAATATTCCGGGAATTCCACAACTTTACCAAATTTTGTTAAAGCACTCTTATTGGCTTAAAAAACTTTCCCAGTTTTAATGAAAGTTGTGGTTTTTCATCAATAGTGAACGAGAATTCACCAATTTTTCAAAATTGAAGTTTTCGTGAAACTAGCCGAAGAAATAAGAAGGCTCCTCTAACCTTCTAATTGAAAGGTCCCGTCAGGACTGTCCTTCACAACCACTCATTATTTCAGAGTACCCACTATTCTGTTTCCTATGTTCTAAACTATGCCGTGAATAAATTTTTTTTTCAAGTTTTCAGATCCATTCGAGTCGGACTCGTTCATTCGTTTGTCCTACATTCGCGCGTTTTGTCTATTCCTTGGCCTATCGATACTTCCATGTCTAATAATTGAACGAATCTATGCCACCATACACATATATTGTCAATGAGCAGTTTTTTAGAAGGGCTGGCTACCACCGTTCCATATTCCAAATACGGTCGCACAAAAGTCTTATATAGTAATGACATTAATCTAACGTTCTTACTATGATAAGTTTTAAAAATAGAGTAACTAGCATATTTCGCCCTATTGATAGCTTTCTGCCAATGGTTAGAGAAATCTAATCTCTCAGTGATTATAAATCCTAAATCCCTAACTGTAGTTTCCCGTTTAATTTTTTCATTATCAAGGAAATAATTTATATATTTTGAGTTTTCACCAAGACTGATGCAGCAGGTCTTTGATAGATTTAATTCTAGTTTAGCATTCATTGACCACTCATAGATTTTATTGATTGATTCTTGCAGAGATCCTCCCATGTCTCCTTTTTTAATTGGGCAGTATATTTTTAGGTCGTCAGCAAACTGTTTTACTTGCACTGGCGATGAAATTTCTGCGCTCAGGCTATTAACATAGACACAAAACAAGACTGGTGACAACACCCCACCTTTAGGAACTCCGCATACTACTTGCTTAGGCGAGGAAATATAATTATTGATTTTTACCCTGAATGTTCTGTTACTAAGATATGAATTTATCCATTCTATAAGATATGAATTTAATCCTATAGAGGCCAGTTTTTCAAGTAATAAATTATGAGGTACCTTATCAAAAGCCTTACTGAAATCAAAATAAATTATGTCTACCTGATCCCCTCTTTCAAGACTAGAAGTCCATTCATTTAAAGATTCTAACAGACAGGAAGTTGTTGATCTACCTACTCGAAAGCCGTGTTGGCTGTCACTCCAAAATTGAATATTTGCTAGATGGTCATTGATTCTTTTCAGGATACACCTTTCGTAAACTCTACAAATAACGGAAGTGAGACTAATAGGCCTGAATTGGCTTGGGCTAGAAGGAGTTTCTACTTTTTTTATAGGAATAACAATTGCCTCGTTCTATTTTTTCGGGGTTTTTCCTAACATCATTGAGTAATTACAGAGTTGTGCTATTGGGCTAGCTATATATATATATATGGATGTCAATTTTAAAAAACTAGAAGGAATATCGTCTGGGGTTAGTGTATTATTACTCTTAATTTTCTTAAGTAACTTATAAATTTCATCTTCAGATACCCATATCATTTCCTGGATGTTTTTTGTGGTATTATTGGCTTGGAACGTTGGACTAGGATTTGTAAATTGTGATTCAAAATACTCCGATAGACATTCAGATTTCTCATAGTCTTCACTCAATACTATTCCGGAAAAGTTTTTGAAATCTGGTGTCTCGCCAGATTTCTTCTTTAACACAAATTTAGAAAACTTAGAAAACCGACTGACACCTTTTTTCTGAAGAATTTGCAATTCAACATTGCCTTTATATTTTTGCAATTTTTTCCTAAATTTTTTTATAATCAAGGCGTATTGTTCAAAGTCAGAATCACTTCTAGTTAATTTCGTTTTTTCCCAAAGGTAGTCTACAAGTTTACTGAACGATATCAGGTATTGGGGGAGATTTCCATATTCAGAATTTACTCTAATCCAAGGAACAGTGCATTCAAAAACATGATTAAGGTAGGAGAGGAAATTATCATATTTGTCATTAATGTCTAAACTTGAACCAAAGATTTGTGTCCAGTCAACTCTATGTAACATTTGTTGGAGCAATTGCCTATTTACGTTTTTATAATCAGGGATAGAGATGTACACAGGAGTTGGCTTGTGAATAAGGTCAAGTTGGAAAGATATTTTTGAATGATCGCTGAACCCTATTGGACTGGAAACCACAACATTAGACAGTGACGTATTCGGAAAAAGTAGATCAAGAATGTTTAGGCCTCTAGTCGGTTGCTTTACGTATTGAGTAAGATTATTTGCTTCCCCAAAATCAATAACCGCTCTGGCTAGCTGTAGCTGTGTTGCATTTGATGTTTCTGCTATAATGCGAGTTTTTAAGTACTTCATGAATTCAATAATTTTTACTTTTAGATATAGTACAGTATTCCCATATGTATGCATGCACTATTGCAAAAATTGGAAGACGACTTTTCTAAAACTAATCGCAAAGGTAATATTTGTTGAAGGGATATTATCGCAGTGATAATTGTTTTTTCAGTTCACAAGACAACGACGGTCCGTTCAACCGTACACCACTCCAGAATCTATAAACAAAGCTGGACTAAAATACAAAGGGAGAAGTCATGAGCGAATACACAACAGATGTATATTTCCAGCAGTTGAAACTAAGCTGGGCGTGACAAGTCTAAAATTTAAACTTAATTTTTTTTCTTATAATAAATAAATGAAATTGCGTCTCTTTATTTTTCGATATCTCGATCTGTCCGCGCACTTTGAAAAGCTTTAAATGAAATATAAATTGACATGACATTTAAAAAAAGAGTGAGTCGCGAGGCGACGAAAAAAGATCAAATTGCACCAAAGGCGCACCATCCAGCTGTTACGGGCAAATACTCATTAGATGATCTTTTGCTAAATGCTCACTTGCTAAATATGCTCATTTGCTAAACTCGCTCATTTGCTGAACTCGCTCATTTGCTAAAATAGTCTCAATTGCTAAATTTCATTTACTAAATTTTGATCATTTGCTAAAAATGAAAAAGTGCAAATCAGGCTGTAATTTGCTAACATCAGTACTTTTTGACTGAATTTTTTACAGAATATTCCGGTTTTTGCTTTAAATTTTAGGCTTAGGCTTAAACACCTGTTTTCCGGTAAGGAGTTTCAGCCTAAGCCTTCAATTTGAACAAATCCTCTATTTAGCAAATGATCAAAATTTAGTAAATAAAATTTAGCAAGTGAGACTAATTTAGCGAATGAGCGAGTTTAGCAAATGAGCATATTTAACAAGTGAGTATTTAGCAAAAGATCATCAAGCTAATGAGTATTTGCCAAATTTACGTGACCTTTTGAGTAAGACGGAGGAGCAAAGCGACGAACAGTAAAAGATATAGGTAGATTAAATCGCGCCGAAAACGCACCAGCCAACTGTTTGAAGCGCCGGAGGCGCGGCAAACATGCTGGTATTTGTAAATAAAGAAGATTTTTCGAGAAACAACATACATTACAGCTTCAAGGGGTTAATAGAATTATTACTCTCTTACTTGAAGCACAAGGGCATCTAACTATCTCTTTCTTTTCTTGTTTTACCGGGACAATAAATTAAATAATAGGGAACATGTCTAGGCAGTATTATTTGTATTCAAGTTTTCAGTTGTCATAAGGAACTTTCTCTCTTCTCAACCATCAACTATTCCAGTTGGATCTCTTCATCCTTTACCATTACTTTTTCATGATCGATTTCCATTGGCTTAGTCCAGCCATTTATCTGTACCTTAATTTTGATGGAACCTTTCAATTCTTTTTCCTTACTGTCATCATTCTTCACTGAAGTCGTATACTTCTTGTACAATACTCCTTGGATTCCATTTAGCACATTTTTCTTGACTTCTTTCCAATTTACTTGGTTCCTTTCATGTCCTACTCTCTTTTCAAATGCTGAACACGCATCTTCAGCTGAGCAATCTCTTCGGAATGGTCGTATCTTGTAACGATTATGTTTAGATGACCCTCTTTTCCCCGATTGAGAGAAGGGGAATACCGTAAAACCTCTAATAGAACGACACCTGGAACGTCCACTTTGAGCCTATATATCTCACTTCTTTCGAAAGGTATCAAAAAGTGGTTAACTAGTAAAATGTTTATCAGGATATCAGCAACATTTTACTAGTTAGCCACTTTTTGATATCTTTTGCAGAAAATGAGATATATAGGCTCAAAGTGGACGATCCGGGTGTCGTTCTATTAGAGGTTTTACGGTAGCTCAGACGAGGAACTCTCTAGATCCTGCGATTCAGGGAATTAAGGAGGCCTTCTCTGGTTTAAGAGACGTTTTCTTAAAACATACAAACGAACGCCTCTTTACTGACATAACCCAACTGGAATTTTGGAACACATTATTTAAGTTTCCGATTTTGCCATTATCTTCGAGAAGTCCCCTCTGTTTACTCCTGCATAAATGCTAGGCAGTTTACCAATATCGCTCCGATGTTACACTTCTCTACCGTGAGAACTTCCGAATCTCGAATTAATTTGTGTTGATTGTTGTGCTCAACGAAACATGAATATTTTGGGTGCTTCGTGCACTATACAACTTTTCACATCTTGCACCCAAAACTAGAGTATGCTTGTTTTGTTAGGTGGTTAGAAATATAGTTCCTGACACAAATCAGAAGTCTTACAGTGGTGTTTTTCGAATCTTCGATGTGGTTGGTGACTCTCTAATGTCATTTGAGAAACATAGTCGATATCTCCCCATTAACCTGTAAAATCGAAGATCTCTCCCCGTTGAAGGAAGCTAGATATATTAGGTTGGCGGGAAAGTCTTTGTCACTCTGTTTGTTAATCACTGTTCTCGTATATGGAGGCTGTGTATGATATCGACTTTAGTGAATAACAAGGTGATAAGAACCTTCCATATAAACAAGTCCCCATCTCCTTCCCTGCTCCTCATCTGTAATTGAAACGATATGTTTGTTCCCACTGCTATTCACATCAGACATGTTTTGATTTACCTCTTCCTATCTCACACCACGATGAAGGATTCGGAAACTTTCTTGAAGAATGTGTAAAACACACATGCCCCTCACTACAATACTATTCGCAATTGGTTCCATCGTTTCGAAAAAGATGACTTCTCGCTCGATGAAAAGGATCGCTCTGGGAGACCCCGTGAGTTGGATTTGGACAAGCTGAAGCACGCATTGCAATCGGATCCATTTCAATCTAGCCGTGAACTAGCTGTCACATTCGGAGTTCACCATAGCACAGTCCTTGAAGGTTTGAAGTCTCTTGGAATGAGAAAACTTTTTGGTCGATTCATACCTCATCACCTGACTCAAGCCAACCTTGACCGCCGAGTCGACGATTCGATTACTCTTCTCACTCTCCACGCGGGCGATCGATGGCTGGACCGGCTAATAACCGGAGATGAGAAGTGGGTCTTCTACGATAATCACCACAGGAAATCCCAGTGGGTTGGAGAAGGAGAGAGCCCACAGGATGTCCCCAAACCCGACCTTCATCCGAAAAAAGTTATGCTCTCTGTGTGGTGGGGAGTGGACGGCCCCATCTACTGGGAACTTCTGCCCGAGGGCAAAACAATAACTGGAGACCTCTACACTACTCAACTACGAAACCTCAAGAAAGCAGTCGACCGTTCGGCCCTGAAAGACAAGAAAGTGTACTATCAACATGATAACGCTCGCCCACATGTTTCCAAACAAGTGAAGCAGGAGCTGATGGGATATGGATGGAATGTTCTCCCTCACCCCCCGTATTCTCCTGATCTTGCTCCTTCCGACTATTGGTTATTTGGCGATATGACACGTGCCTTCGAAGGAAGAAGCTTCAATTCCCGTGGAGCGGTCGAAGCGGCACTCAAACAATACTTTGCCTCACGCCCGGCTGGATTCTACCGCAATGGAATCCATAAATTGAGGGAACGTTGGAGACATGTTGTTGATAATGATGGACAATATAATTAATTATTCGGTTATTTTTTCTTTGAGAAATAAACTATTGAAAAAGTGACAAAGACTTTCCCGCCAACCTAATAAAAAAGTATTCTAGAAGCCGATTTTGTCTAAAAAACCCCCTGAGGAGTTGAGCACATGAGGAACAGGTAAGGGGTACAGCGCCGCTACCAAGGTTCCGGAACTTCCATAAAAAACCAATTCATTCTTTGTTCATCAAAGATCTCTCCTCATTTATCTGTAAAAGTAGGTTCCGGAACTTCTCCTAAATAATAGAAGACAATGTAAAAAATTCCTTCTTTGTTCTTTACAGTGACTTATCGCTAAAGACGAAAACAACTTAAGGCTCTATAAAAAGAGAGATAAATCTAGATTATCAACTGACGTGGTGGATCATTAGCAAGCGATTCAGGTGAGTCTCCCAGTCAAATCCAAAAGTAGAAATTCACGAATTCGTCTGGTATCAAAAGATGATTATGTCACGTAGAGACTAGGTTCTTATAGTCGAAATTTTGATGAGAAAGTTGTTCTGGAAAAAAAAATTGTCCTCAACTGAACTATGGCATTCTAGGATGAGTTCTGCTGTCGAGATGATCAACCAAATTTTTATTGCAACGGAAATTGTTCTTTTCAACATCTTTGGACTGTTTGGAAACATCAACTTTCTGTTTCTCACTTATGTGAAACCATCACTGAGATCCAAATCTTGTAAGTTGTTAGTGTGAACATCAATTTTTAGATACAAGATTTCAGCCTATATTCAATGTGCTCTGAGTGTATCTCACATTTTCTGTCTTCTGTTTGAACTTCCTAATGCCGTTCTTCTTTTCACCGGGATTCAGTTAAGACGGAACGTTTGTTTCCCAGCAATTTCCATCTACATATTCTTCATCTGTGCTCAAGCTGTCATCATGCTCATGCTAGTAGTGGACCTTTTCATTATTGTGTTTTTCACCACATTGTTAGTCATAAAAAGTAAAAACAAACACTTAAATTTGTAATTCCAGCTACCGTAGAGTCGACAATGTAACCTATACAGTTCTCATGCTCTTTGTCCCGTTCGTCTACGCGGGATTCACTGTTGCCTGGGGTTTCGTGATGATGGATGACGAATTGGTTATTTTCTGTAATCCGCCAATCAGTCTTCATCCTATTGTAAGCAGATGGTGGTCTATGTCAAATGTTGGTCTCAATTCAGTGACTCTTTGTTTGTTCCTCTTTCTCATGATCATTTTTCATTTTCGAGGTATACTGTGACTTTTCTGGAAAAAAGTAAAACGAAACTTTCAGGAAAGAAGCAAAAGAGTGATACTCGAAAACTCATGAAACGATTGAAAGTGTCCGTTGTGGTATTTGTCTTCTCTTGGTACATGTGCACCCTTGGCGTTGATATGTTTGTGGCCATCGGACTCACTGGCTCGGTTCTCGTTTTTTTCCAGAGCAATATGGTCTTCTTCGCTCTCCTTTGCTACACTCAACCATTCTATGTGATGCTCTGGAGATCTTCGGAATATCGAATTGCATTTGTGGAGATGTGGAGTTTCTTGAATTGTGTGAAGTCGTTGAAATCAAAGGGATGGTTGGAGAAAACAACTAAAGTTACGACTCAAGTCTCAACTATGGAATCTTCGAAAATGTGAAATTCTAATTCTGGATATTAACATTTTAATAAAGTTCACTATATTTGGGTTTCTTGTTTGTAATTTGTCCTGTGAAGGGTAAAAAAAATTTGGCAATTTTGTGATCGACGTTTTTAGATTTTTCTAACCTATACGGAATCACAAATCTCATCGGTTCCTGATCAGATGTAACATCATTCATTTGGAAATTCATCATTTGTTAGCTGTAGTCATAATGTAGTTATTGCTGGTGCATTCTGAACAAACAAAAAACGTGAGACGCGAAAACCCTAGTTACCAGTATTCTAAAATTCCGGTTTTTTGTCTGATCAAAATACATTTCTCCTCCAGAATTCGCTACACCTCCTACCTAAAAACTGAATATTTTGTGACAAAAAAACGAACAATGATAAGACCCTAGGTTCACCCTGACCATGTTTTTGGTACCTATTCTCTTAGGATTTATCCTGCTAACTCTATAAGTTAATCTGTTTTACTGAACTCTGCTTCTGTCACTTGATACAAAATAATAGATTTTGGGACACATGCTCCATTTTTTCTGACTAATAACAAATGATAAGTCATTGTGTCGGAAAAGAAAGATCACTTTTTTTTCATATCTGACTGTACACATTCAGTAAGGTCTTCCCTTGATTAGTATAAAAATGGAGTTGGTGAAAACGTGATAGGTCTGCAAATAACCCATTTAGTACTCAATTCAACTAGATTTGAGAAAACGTGACAGGAGTCTAGATTGAAAATCAAATGTTCATGTACTCCTGATATTCTTTGCAGGATAGTCTCGCCAATTTTGAGACTCCATCAAATAAATTCTTGTGAATTTTTCACATTTTGAGCATTAATATCAAATTTGTCTACTCCGCCTACAATTTTTTTATCCCTAACTTTCCTATCAAAATCGAATTGTTTCAGAATGAATTCTATCATTTTAATCAGCAACAACATCTTCATTGCCATCGAAATAATTGTCTTTAATATTCTCGGACTTTTTGGAAATGTCAATATTCTTTTGTTGACCTACTTCAAACCTCAGTTACGATCGAAAACATGTGAGTTCAATAAAAAATCAAAAGAGTTTCATTGACAATCACCTGATTTGAGATTACTGTAGCTAACTTTTTCTACCAACAAGGAGTTACTGTAATAACTAACATTTTCAGCTTATTTTCAATGCGCCCTGAGCATCTCTCACATCTTCTGTCTCTTGTTCGAACTCCCAAATGCAGTTTTCCTGTTCACTGGAATCCAATTAAAACGGAATGTGTGTTTTCCTGCAATCGCTACTTATATATTTTTCATTTGTGCTCAAGCTGTCATTATGCTCATGCTAGTTGTCGATCTCTTCATCATAGTATTCTTCACCACTTTGTAAATTCAATTTTTAAATTTCCTCAAAATTGAGGTTCATTTTTTTCAGATACATGCGAGTGCACAACTTGCTTTACGCAGCTACCCTGTTGTTTCTTCCTTTGCTCTACTCCGCTTTTACAGTTGCTTGGGGGTTTATGGAAATGGACGATGAGATTATTTTGTTCTGTAACCCACCGATTGGTCTTCATCCGCTGGTTAGCAGATGGTGGTCAATGTCGAACGTTGTTATTAATACAGTAACCATCGCATTGTTCATTTTTCTCATTGGAACATTTCATCATAGAGGTACTGTAGTAGAACGCCCCTCTAGTACAACGTCACCCTTATTAAGTGGTTTGAGATATCAAAACAAAGTTTTAAGCTTGATTCACAGAATATCTGAGGAATCTAAAAAATTCAAAGTATTTACTTATTTAGCTACACTGATCATCAAGCAAAACCCATAGTTTGTTGCCTTGCATCATCTCAAAACACCCTTCTGAAAAGTAGAACACCACGACAGTATTTTTTACGTCATCTAAAGAAAACTTATTCAGGAAGAAAAGAGAGAAGTGATACTCGAAAACTAATGAAACGATTAAAAGTTTCCGTGGTGGTATTCGTCTTCTCGTGGTACATGTGCACCCTCGGCGTTGATTTATTTGCGGCTTTAGGCCTCACTGGCTCCGCTCTAGCAATTTTTCAAAGTAATATGGTCTTCTTCGCACTTCTCTGTTATACACAGCCGTTTTATGTGATTCTATGGAGATCATCTGAATATCGAATGGCATTTGTGGAACTTTGGAGTAATTTCTATTGGTTCAAGGCATCAAAACCAAAACAATGGTTGGAGAGAACTGCGAAAGTTCATACTGTAGTTTCCACTTACGACATTTCAAAAACATAAGTAACTTTTTAATAAATTCTTGAATCTAATGTAGTTTCTTTTTTCTTTGTTGCAAAAAGTATCAGAAGAACAAACTATGTTCACAGAAAAAGAGTAATGATATCAGCTACACAGTTGCAAAAAATTATAATCGTCTGAGCCAACACTTTCGAATCGTTTCTGATGTACATCTCGGTGTTTGATGTTCCGCGAAAAAAGATGGAGAAATGAAACAATAAACTCTTTAATCGAAAAATCAAAACTCAAAAGAATAAGACACAGTAGTTCGAAATTATAAAAAAGTCTCGAGATTATCAACAAAATGTAACCTCAAAAAGAACTAGACGTCGTTGGGTGAAAATGTTTATAGAAGTTGTAAACTTTTATGTTATGGATGTAACTGTAACATCAGGACACTGTATTAAGTTCGAAAATTGGTTTTCAGTTTTGAAACGTTTTAAAATTTTATTGTCCGATTTTTATCATTGGAACATCAATGGTTAAAAAACATTATTCAGTTCTTAGAGTACGGTACGAGAACGGTACGATTGTTTGTTCAATATTGGAAAGTTAGACGATCAGCCAAACAGTTTTTAATTAAAACTGATTTGTCGATCGCCCAGATTTTTAATGATTTCTTTTTGAAAGTATTACCTTAAACACTCTGCAAGAACGCAGAAAGTGGTCGGATGACAATATATTTTTGATGATGAGATAAACATTTTGTCAGCTGCCCACTGTTTGAAGCCTTTCACAGGAATTGAGATACCGTAAAACCTCTAATAGAACGACACCCGGATCGTCCACTTTGAGCCTATATATCTCATTTTCTGTGAAAGATATCAAAAAGTGGCTAACTAGTAAAATGTTGCTGATATTCTGATAAACATTTTACTAGTTAACTACTTTTTGATATTTTTCAAAAGAAGTGAGATATATAGGCTCCCAGTGNACGATCCGGGTGTCGTTCTATTAGAGGTTTTACGGTATATCGGCTCAAATATGACAGTTTTGGGGAAGGGGGGGATGTTTTATTAGAGTGTTCACGGTAACTTTGTGATGACAATCAGAACCGACCAAGTTTTGGAAGCTGAGAATTGAATTTCGGCTAGGTAACAAAATGATACATACATTTTAGAAACTACACATATTTTTAAAAATTCATTCAGAGAAATTATTCTGCTTGGAAGTGACGAAGTCTCATATGGCGCCAAAGTTGGCAATTTTTCTTGTCCAGTTGCCAAAATATTATTTGTTCTGTCTGGAACTGTATGTATTTTATTTGTAGCTCATTTTTTAAAGCAGAAAAAAGAATAACTGTAAAACTGTAATAAAACGCCCCCTGTAGTAGCACACCCCTCTAATACAACGCCATCCTTATGAAGTGATTTGAGCTATCAAAACGAAGTGTTTTGCTTCTCGCGGAGTAGCAGAGGAATCTGAAAAATCCACACCGTGTGTTTTTTGATACCCTGATAATCAAGCAAAAAACCTGTTTTTGTTACGGGGCATCACCCCAAAATAATAGAAAGCCATGGCGATACATTACGGTATGTTACAGTATCTTCTTCCTCTGCCCAATGCTCACGTGAAATGGAAATATCTCGCACCCAACAAACTTTTTTTCCATTGAAGACACATATTTGACTATTTGACTTCTATTTTAGAAGCCAAGCCCACCGAAAAAACTAAAGTTCAACAATCTTCTTCTCGACCTCCTCCTCCTGCTTCTTTTTAACTTTTACTTACCATTCGTGCCCAACAAAAGTTTTTAATGTGTGGGCATTATCACTCGGGTTGGCGGTTCAATTTAATCGTTCGGCCAAACAGATCGAGGTTGCGTTCTCAAAGAGGTCTAGGTAAACTCATCAGGTGCCCCTCTCTATCTTTAATGGGTGCAAGCACATTACAGTAGACTTTTCTTGTGATGATGATTTGTGTCTAATTCCTTTTTTTTTAATTTGGTTTTTTTGGTTCATTTATTGACAAGAATTGGCAACACATTATACCTTCCTTTTTGTTTCAGTACACAATACAATATAAATACCCTCTTATCATCCTGCCACTTTTTAAGGTATGCCGAGACCTACAACTGTTGTTCTTCTACTACTTCTGCTCGGAGTGCACTCCGAAGCACAACTCGGTCAATTATTGCAACCATATCTCGTTGGACCTCATAATCAAAGAAATTCAACTCGTCTTGTGCTCACAGATGAACTTTGCTCTCAAGATGAATGTCTTATTCAAAAACACTGGTCATCGGAAGACATCTGTGCCTATGTGAAGTGCAATAAAGATGCATGTGAAGGTGGTGGATACCTTCAATGGTCCCAATATATCAAATGCGAGTATAATACAGCTGTTCGAGTTCGTTTGAAAAACAATTAAACTATTCTAATCATCTTGTCTATTTTACAGGTTATTTGTTGATTGTCAGTATAATCTACTTGTTCTTTTTGTTTATTGTGATGACAGTTGTGGCTGATGACTTCTTTTCCCCGTCCATCGCTGGAATTGTACGACATTTGAAGATGAGTGAATCTATTGCGGTATGTTGTTTTTTTTAATCGAAATTATTATCATTTCGATATATTCCAGGGAGTAACATTCTTGGCATTTGGAAACGGTGCACCTGATGTGTTCGGAAGTATAGCTTCAGTTATCACAACTCCCAAACCTAAAGCTGATTTGGCTATTGGAGACATTCTAGGAGGAGGAATATTCGTCACTACTGTAGTTTTGTCAGCCATTATTCTAACAAAGTCTTTCAAAATTGCTGTAAGTAGTTGCTCTCTGGATTTTTTTTGGAAATTTGAAATGAGTTCAGGTTCTTGCCACTATCCGTGATATCCTTTTCTTCATAGTGGCTGACATTTTCCTTGTTATTTGGTTTATAAACTTCAATCATGTTGAGATTTGGATGCCTCTCAGTATGATCCAAAAGTTTTGGGATTCATTTAATTTTTCGTTATTTTAGCATTTCTCGGTCTCTACGCCGCCTATGTAGTATCTGTGATTCTGATGAGAATAAATTCCAAAAGACGGAAGCGAGCTAGACATTTGAAGGCTGAAAGTAAGACAATTGATATTTTCATTCTCACAAAATCCATTTTTTTCAGATGAAAGAAAGGAAAGTCAGATGAATCATCACACTCATAAAATTTCCACTGTTATTGGATTTGTTATGGACTATGCACATGTTATAAACTTTTTCGCAAATAGCAAAAGTGAGTTTGAACTTTCCTCGTATAGCTAATTTGATTGATTTCTTCCCTATCTAATTGATAGTAACTCAATAAATTAATTTCAGTCTCTGCTATGACGAACAATGTTAAAAACTTCCTGGATGATAAAACTGACTCCTTGGAAGATGGATTGGTTGATGAACAGAGTGATGACGAGGGAGAAGAGGCTGAATTCCATATTGCTCATCGTCACGTCTACAAGTCTTATGATGAAGCTAGTCTAGCATTCACGGATGTCGAAGAAATCCGACCGAAGACTTGGAAGTCTTGGGATTGGGTTAGAGATGTTGCAAATCACCTGAGGCCATGGCCAGGGAAAGGCGAACTTATGGAGATGAATTATTTTTCGAGAGCGATCTCCATTATTGCAATTCCCCCAACTTTCTTGTTTAAACTCACAATTCCATCGAATGAGATGCCATGGTCAAAACCGATTCTCATCATTCATTGTTTCTGTTCAGTGCAACTTGCCTTATTTGCTGTTCAAATTTCGGCGAAATCTCCGTTCCATGGAAGTCCCGGACTCTGGATTTATGGTCTTCTTATTTCAACTATCGTGAGCATTCTGGCTCTTATCTTCACACCACTCGATAAAGAGCAAAAATATTACAGGGTTAGTTGGTTTTCATGAAGTACGTATCATCAATTAGGTTTTTAGGAAATCTATTCCTACCTTGGCTTCCTGATGTCCATCGCTTGGATCTACTGTACCTCATCTGAAATTATCAATGTTATCACCATGATTGGAGTGGCTACTGGAGTGTCACAGGAGATTCTTGGTCTAACTATTATGGCATGGAGTAACTGTATTGGTGATGTCGTCTCGGATGTGGCAGTTGTGAAACAAGGGTTCCCAAAAATGGCAATGGCAGCTGCTATAGGAGGACCACTTTTCAGTAAGCACAAAAACTCAAGTTTAGGATAAACCTTGAAAATTCCAGATCTTCTTGTTGGATTTGGTCTTCCATTCACAATCGCTTGTCTCCAAGGAAAACAAATTGACCTGCAAATCACTGCGGTCTACCGACTTCTAATGCTTTTCCTTGCCATTTCTCTAATTACTTCTCTGATTGGTAAGCCATGAAAATCTTCAACCCTTCAAAAAATATAGAATTTTCAGCAATCTTTGTTCAAAAATTCAAGGTTCGATGGCCTCATGCAGTAGCTCTTCTCACAGTTTTTGTATCATTTCTTGTTTTTGTACTCCTCTCAGAGACTCATGTTTTAGAATGGAAGTGATTTCTCACTTCAACTTCACAAATGTCATATTTATTCTCAAGTTTTTTTTATTACGGGTCAAAATGGGATTAGAAGAAATTGTCAAAAAAGTATTGAATGATCCAAATAAAATGTTCGAATTTGAATTATTATGTTGAAGAAACTGTTGACGCTGCTTGATGGGAATGAGCAGTGGCCGATATTTTTGTAGACATAATGTGTTTTTCCTTGAGACCTGCGCAGCAAGGAATACAACTCCATGCTTCAAAGAATGCGTTTCGGTATTCTGGAGATCTCCAAATGACAACGTAGAAGAATTGAGAATAGGAGATCAGGACAAAGAAAACCTAAAAAAATAACGAAACGAATATATTTTTGACTCTCTGTGAAATACCAAATTGCTCATCATGAAAATTAATGTAGGCCCCGTGAAGCCGAGAGCCACGAACAAGTCTGCAGCCAGTAAACCTATGTACCAGGTGAAGATGAAAAATAGGATAGACACTTTTAGACGCTTCATAATTTTTCTGGTATCACTCTTTTGCTTCTTTCCTTTGTAATAGAAAAGTAAGATTAAACTTATGAACAAAACCAAGGTGATGGTATTGATAATGACGTTGGAAAATGTCCAAAAACGGGATACTGTATGATAGAGAGCAAGTGGTGGGTTACAGAACATCACGATTTCATCGTCCATAGCCAGGAATCCCCAGATTACGATTCCAGAAGAGTAGACGACAGGGATCGTGAGCATCCCAGTGAGGTACTTCCAGGTAGTCACTGTTTGATAGAATGCAGGAAAGAAAACGATTATAAAAATGTCGAGGGTCATCATAAGGATAATCACGGCTTGAGCACAAATAAAAAAAATGTAAATGGATATTGCCGGAAAACATTGATTTCGTTTCAACTGGATTCCGGTGAACAGAAGGCCAGCGTTTGGAAGTTCGAATGAGAGGCAGATGATGTGGGAGAAGCAGAGTGCACATTGAAGATACGCTGAAAATGAAGAATCAGTTTGATTTTTGGAAATCGTCATGAGATAAACTCACAAGATTTTGATTTCAGTTTAGTTTTAGTTGCAGTAAGAAATATGAAATTTAGATTACCAAACAATCCGAAAATGTTGAAGAAAACGATTTCAGACGCGATAAAAATTTGGTTTAAAAATTGGAAAGTGGTCAAAGCCATCACTAGACAAAAATATAGAATCCGGAAATAAAATCCGATTTATTTACTTAGAATCCTTGGTGTGCAGCCTGCACGTATTCTATCGAATTCCTTGACAATTCCAAAATTACGGGTCTATAGAAACGAGATCGGAGACTGGATGTATATTGGCCTTCTGGTGTATTTATATGGGCTGATTCTCAATGGACGACTTATGATTCTCAATGGACGACTTATGATTCTCAATGGATATAATCTTCTACCTAAGATCTAAGAGAAAAGATATGAATAGTTGTTTTCATGATTCATAAAAAGATTTTAGAACAAAAATGATGAGATTTGGAGCCGTATATTGACTTTGCAGGAAATAAAATATCGTTGGGCCCTGATTTCTGAATTGGATATAGCTGATATTCATTTTCCAGATTTTTAGATCACCCCATTCTTGCAAAATCTTGTTCTGACTGATCAGAAGCATCCAACTGGCCCCTGTATAATCAAAAAATCATTTATTTTTCAAATTGAAAAGAGACATGTACAGAAAAAGCAGTCAGATGTAAATATCATTGATTCGCTCGAATGACCTAATTTACAGTAAACCTAGACAAGCAAAAACAAGAAACAGAACAATTCTCAGAATAGAAACCGAAGACGTCAGAAAACGGAAGAAGAACTCTGTCCTTTGGTTAGAAAATTCTAGAGGTCGTCACAGGTTGGTTGATCTTCATAGAAGAGCCTGCTCCAGTGACATCACGAGATGCAAACGATCTTCCACACCACAAGGATAGAAAGTGGGTACGGTATTCTTTGGATTTCCAGATGACAACGTAGAACGTTTGGCTGAATGATAGAAGCACGAAGAAGGACTGAAAGTATGACTTTTTTGATGACTTTTTTAGAAAATGCCATTGTTCTCGAAAATCCTATGACTTACCACATTTGCGACCAGAAAGTTGAAAGTCTCCCCTGTGATTCCGATTGCAATAAAAACAGAATTTGAAGACTGAGCAATAAACCACGAGCAGACAAAAATCGCAACGGATAGCTGAAGACGTTTCATGACTTTCCAAGAATCACCACGCTGCTTGTGACCTGAAATAAATGATTGCATATCCCAAGAGTTCCTGAAAAAATTGAATTGCCTTTTGTGTAGAAAATTCGAATCAGAACCAGAAAAACAATCAGAGTGAGCACATTGAGAAAAAGAATGTACCGAAAAAACCAAGTACTTGCAACGATATTCAGTCCTGCAAATTTCAAGAAATGGATAAATTAATTAGAGAAAAAAGTGCTTCACCTAGAGGAGGGTTGCAGAAAATCACGATTTCATCATTAGTACCAACAAATCCCCACACGAAAAATACCATTCCACACGTTATAGCTGGAATGAGAGCCAGAATAATATATTTGGTTGTTGAGAAAGTGTGATAGCTGAAAAAATCCAATTTCAGGGTCTCTATCGAAAAAGGAATCTTACAATCTTGGGAATTTGACAATGATTAGAATATCTATGACAAGAAATAACATAATCATTGATTGAACCGTTTCAAAGAATGTGTAAGTTGAAACTTTCGGATAGCACTGACTCCGTGGAAGTTGGATATCTGAAAGCCTCAGTTTAAAATATTATTAAAGATAAAAAATACATTTATTTTTTCCTAAATCCTACCCAGAATAGTAAGTACGGTATCCACTTGAGTTCCAGCTAGACAGATGATGTGACAGAAACTCTGAACGGCTTGGAGAATTGCTGAAAATTTGTTGATTGCTACAAAAGAAGGAAATGTCCCAAAACTTACAGGATTTTGTTTGAAGTGTCTTCTTTTTTGCGATCATATAGATCAGACAAGCGTTCCCAAAGATTCCAGCAAAGAAGAATAAGATTTTATAAGTGACAATGATCAGTTGGTTCACTCTCGCAAGCATGCCGTACATCACCAAGAGCAAAAAATGAAATGAACAAAAATTCTGTGTCTCATTAGCCAGAATCTCAAGCGAGACAGAAGAGGTGGGAAACATTAGTGACAAATGAACACACCGTGAGAAAAATTTATAAAATGTGTTTTGTGAGTCACCATCTTAGAAAATGATTGTAGGTTTCTGGCTCGCACCAATACAAGTAGTGGAAGTGTTCTTTCTCAGATCTTTAGGCTTCTGTTTGATTCCCAGTAAATTGTTGAACGCCTAAAGTAGCTCCAGGTATCATCGACGAGCTTTAAAGTTTCAAACATACGTTTTTATACTCATTCGATTTGTACAAAATGACATAGAAGGTTTGAGAGTATGCCAGGCAAATGAAAAATGTCTGGAACTGATTTTTAGAGAATCACAATCAAAGCAATTGCAGACCGTAAAACATACCATGTTGTTAATTACAAAATGCAACTCCTCTCCCTCTAATCCTGCAGCTAAACAAACGTAGTATGTGAAAATCGTTATGTACCAAGAACACAAAAATATAACAACAGAAAACTGCAGCCGTTTCATAACTTTTGTAGAATCAGGATTTTTGTTTTGGCTTTTTTTGTAGAAAATTAATATCAAAATAGCGAATATTATAAGTGTAAGGGAGTTGATTATAACGATGCATCTTGTGTAATTCTTGCTGGCCGTTGTGTGAAGTGCTGGAACTCAGATATAGACGATTTTCAGCTCTATTGGACCTTACATGATGTGGGATTACAGAAGTAGATTTCTTCATCGTCTAGATATGTGAATCCCCAAATTGAAAAAATAATCCCAACTATCGAAGGAGCAATCAATGCAGCTAGCAAGTAAATCCATGTCTTCACAGTTTTATAAAATCCTGGCATTTTGACAATTATGTACACATCAATCACTAATTCCAGCATTATAACTGCCTGGGCTGCTTCAAAAAATACAAATGGTACCATAACATGAAAACATGAAGTTCTGCCTAATTGAATATCTGGAATAGCTAATCCAACGTCGACCATCGTTCCCAAAAGACATATAATATGAAAAAAGCATTGAATGCTTTGAAGATATGCTGAAATTGTTTATTCAGGAAACAAAAAGAGAAAGTTCGACCTACAAGATTTGGACCGTAACTGTTTGTTGCGACATACGAGAAAAATGAAGCAAGAGTTTCCGAAAATTCCAATTACAAAGAAAACAGTTTTGAAAGACGCGATGAACAGTTGATCAGCTCTTTCAACCCAGTTGTGAAGCATTAAATAAAAAGAGAAAGGAATACAAGAATGGGGAACAACGGGAGACCTAGTTGAATGGATTAGGCGGAAATATTCAATTTGGAGGTAGGTAAATCAGAAACCGGTACCAAATGTGTTATTCAGAAAATGACGAGAACTTTGTAATAGAATTTTGGTTCTATGGAAAACCGGGAATGTGCTGGTTTTCATCCAGTTGTAGGTAAAAATAATCAATCAAGAATGGTGACAATTTGGGTCAAGGAGTGTCAGTAACTGGGTAAAACCGGAAGTAACTTTCAATTTTATTTGGCCAAAGAGTATTTCCTCCTGCTTAAGTTAGGACAAGAATAATTATTATAGTACCAGTCGATCAGATATACTAAAACGTATTTTTCAGTTAATTTCCGACTATTTCGACCATTTTCAGGACTCTGGAGCTCGCCTTTCGTGTTTCCGATCACTTTTAAAATTAAGGATAATGTAAAACAGACCTAGATTGAAAAGTTTGCACTCACAGAACTATTTAAAAAGTTTTAGTTTTTCAGATATTTCTCAACTTGTGAAAAAGACACCTGTTTTTTCACTTTTTCAGTATGAAACATCCAAAAAGAGGTGTCTTTCAGTAATCGGCAAATAGCTGAAAAACTAGGAATTTTTAAAAAATACTGTAATACAGTGTTTCCAATCGAGGTCTGAATAAAAAATTTAACAGCTTTGTTAAAAACCCCGAACAGTCCAACCAAAGTCTTATTGCAAAGCGATCTTTGACTTTCTCAACAGAAGTTTTTAATAGCAATTTTTCTCCAAAGAACCCTGCTGAAATCGGAAATCCCTCATTTACAGAATAACCGTCGTTATCTCACTTTTCAGTTTATTTCTCCGAATTTTTTTCATAAAAATATTAAGTTGCTTGAAACAAGTAAAAGTATCAAACATCAATTCTTTGATCAGATCTTAAAAACTACAGAGAGTTAAATACGAAAAACTCATGATGTTATTAAAACAAACTCCACTGGAGAGTTTTTATGACTCGATCTGAGTTGGGCTTCTTCGATAAAACATTGATTCGGAGTTTGTGATTTTGAGAGTAACCGATGGCGAGTGACGAGCAATGGAAGATGATTGAGGAGACCATTTGGGCCACCAAACACTGTAGAATTGATCGCGATACTCTTTGCTACTCCACATTGTCACATAGAAAGTGTTACTGTAGGAAAGACATACAAATAGTATCTGAAAGTCGGGCGTTTTTAGGCGAGCGGTTCTAAACTTACCAAATGCGAAATTGCCAATCCTAACAACTTTGAGAAGTTCGGAAAGAAAATAACAATAAATGAAAGGAGTTGACTGGTAAACCATGTGAAAATGAAGATAATTACAGTTAATTGAAGTCGTTTTACAGTTTTCAATGAGCTCCGATTACTTGATTGATTCCGACTTCTTGTGTAAAAAGCATTTATCAAGATGGTGTAAAATAATAGAACGACGACACTTAGAGTGATAAAAGTTTGGTTATAAAACATGCTTGCAGTTGTACTGAATGCAAATGGTGGAGTACATGCATAGACCGTTTCCTCATTAGTTGTCAGATGAGCAAGAATGACGTACGCTGATGCAAACAACAGAATTGGAGAACCACTGATAAATATGTACTTGGTTACAGAGAGTCTACGATAGCTGAAACGTAAGTTTAAGATTATTAAGCTTTCAGCTTTATAGCACTTACAAAACTGGAAATTTCACGAAAATCAAAATGTCCAGCACTATAATCAACATTATCATTCCTTGAGCGGCTTGAAAGAAAATATAGTAAGCGATTTTATGAAAGCAATCACTTCTTGTGTAGACAGCTCCCATGTCAAACACCCCTGACATGACAGGCCCAGTCTGGCAGATGATATGGAACCCAGCTTGGACACATTGTAAAATTGCTGAAAATTTTCAAATAAACTTTTAATTAGGTTTGATTTTAAGCCTACATGTTCTGGATTGCAATTGTTTTCGCTTGAAAACAAGATGAATAAAAAGGACATTCCCAATAATTCCCACAACTAGAAAGAAGATTTTATAGGTGGCAATAATGTAGCGGTTCAGCGTTTGGCTGTCCATTTTTGAAAATGAAGCGAACTAGATTGAAAATGAGTAGGAGGTGTTTTGCAGAGGAGGAAGATGATTCTGATGAGCGATGGACTATGATGATGTTGATGTAAGTTCGAATATCAGTCTGCTCACATGAGTCTGATGGTTCACGGTTTATACATAGATAACTTGTTCTTTGTCATGATTTTTGCTGAAGTATACATAATAAACAACCCTTTTTACAAGAAAAGTATAAGTTTATAGTTATTTTCATAAGAAAAAAATGGTGGTGTTTGAGCTCGCAATAAGGACATTCAATAGAATCATCCTTTTAGTGTTAATATTTCTGTTATATTTGTTGAAAAAACACGTTGCTCCCAAAAACTTAACGGTCCATCTTTTGAGAGATTCAAAAGATTCACGTGGCTCACAAAAAATTTTGAAATTTCAGTACTTTGATGTGAAAATTAAAACTTTTGAAATTCACTACTTGTTATATATTTCATTTGAAAGCTGCGCCCAATATACATTTATCATATTTGAAAAATCAGGACCGGGCCGGAGATTTTCAGGACCCGGCCCGACCCGATTTTCCCACATTTGCAGATATAATTTTCTTTGCTAATATGTAAGGGGCTGCCAGTTTCGAAATATCAGGTTTCAAATTTGATCCAAATGCAAAGAAAATATCGCGAGGGAGTGATCAAACCTTCATCCACCACCATGTTGACCCACCATGTGGAGTTCTCGACCCAAAGGAGGCTGTCCTTTTGGCTGTGTCTTGCGATGCCTTCGCCTTCGGACAGGAGGACACCAACAACGACCGTATCACTGTCGAGTGGACCAACAACCCAGACGGAGCTGCCAAACAGTTCCGTGACGGAATAGTCCGCCGCAAGAACTTGCCAATTGAGTATAACCCATAGATTTTGGCTCGTTTACGAGAATAATGAATGTATGAATCTAGATGATTTGAGCCAACTTTCAGCCAAATATGAAACTTGATTTTTACTAAACTGGTAGCTCCTTAGCAAAAACAAAGAATTCATCTAAACAAGGTGTGATCTCAGTTTTAAAATGGTACAAGTCTCCTATCCAAGTTCCACATCCTAGTTACAACCTTTCCTAGTTAGTAGACGTGTCAAGGTATGTTCTGCAGTTTAATGAAAAATAGAGGAACATTTTTTCCAAAGGAAAATACTTTTATGCAAATAACAAAAAAAAAAGTTTTCAAAAAAGAGAATTAGTAGAGAACGTAGCTACCGAAGCTGAACTTCTTGATTTTTGCAACCATACACTGTAGAATTCTTGTCGATACTCTTTGCTCCGCATCATCGTTACATAAAATGTGTTACTGTAACATAGGCATACGAAGAAGACCTGGAAAGAAACAATCACTTTTAATTGATTCACTCGATGGACATTACCGTATGAGCAAACATCATTCCACTCCATTCAGAGAATTCTGGGGCTCTGAGAACAACGAACCCAAGAATCTGACCGAAAAACCAAGTGAATATGAAAATCAAAACTGATAGCTGCAGACGTTTAATAGTTCTCAGAAAGTTTGTTCGGTTTTGGTTGCTCGTTTGGAATATCCAAATTAAAATCAAATACAAGATCATGACAATGATTCCGAGAAGTATGAACAGCATGTTATAATAGACGCCTGTTTGAGCATCAAAAGCAAAAGGAGGACCACAAGAGTAAACGAATTCATCGTTTGTTGTGAAAATAGCAAGTGAAGTAGTGAAAACAGAAAATGCCAACACTGGTACAGTAACAAAGGCGATGTATGCAGAGGATGAAAGTCTACGGTAGCTGAAATGGAAACTGTATAATCTTTAGCTAGTATCTATTCAACTTACAACACTGGGAACTTGACAAAGGCTAGAATATCCAATACGATGACCATCATAATAATTCCCTGTGCTGTTTGGAAGAATATGTAGAATGCAATTCGTTTCAAACACTCATTCCGTCTATAAAGGGTCCCAACATCCAGGACTCCACTCACAACAGTACCAATTTGGCACAACAAATGGAATATACACTGAACGCATTGAAGAATAGCTGAAATATGAACCTTTTTTGCTATTCTTCAATAACTGCTTACATGTTCTCGACTGCAACTGCTTCCTTCTGTAGATCAAATGAATGAATAATGAGTTTCCTATAAATCCAAGAACCAGGAACACAACTTTATAGAAGGCAATAACGTAGAGGTTCAAAAGTCGGCCATCCATTTTTTAGAAGTATCAAAACAAAGTGAAACGAAGTTACTCATCTGCACATTTATATACTCTATCAGGCACCAAGAATCATATTAGTTTGGGTCTGATCACACTAAATTCACGGTCCCACGGTTTTTCAATTTTTCTCGTTTTTTTTCTCATACAGGAGTCGTCAGGTCGCTGTCTAGAAGGAAGTGCGTTTCGAAAAATGGAAGCATTTTTCAAAAAGTGATCTTTATTAAAAATGCGGGGACTTGGAGAAGGATCAATCCTGAGAAAAAAGAAGGCTCGATCAGAAGATTGTTCATCATTCCGGCTTGGCAATTTTCAAGTTGTTTTTCATTTTGTATAGTATCCAAATTGAAAATTTTCGAAAATTGAACAAAACCTATCATAAATGGATCCATACACTGTCAAGTTTGAACTCATTTTTCTTGGCTCCTATGTTAGATATCAAGAATCTGTCCACTGATAAAATGTTTGTAATATTAGGGGTTTGCAAAAGTAATTGCGTCAAGTTTGGTGTTTTGTATCTCACCCAAAACAAACGGTTTGTGTTCAACTTTTTTTGTTTTAAAAAGCGCGTTCTTGGGCTTCATTTTGTTATGTTATATTGCTGTTTTAATTTGATTTCTATGAAAAAAACATTCTAGAAGATGTCCGACCAAAAATTTCGCCTTCGAGCATTTTTGTGGCACCAATTTAAGGAAGGAAAATCGGCTGCCGAAGCTCACCGCTCACTTTCTCCTGTATTCGGTAAAGAAGCTATATCCGAAAGTCAGTGTCGCCGCTGGTTTCAGCGCTTCAGGAGCGGAGATGAAAGATTGGAAGATGAATCGCGCCCTGGTCGTCCAGAGCAGGTGGACAACGATGCCTTGAGAGCAGCAATTGAAGTGGATCCTTGCCAAACTACTCTCAGTCTCTCGGAGCAGTTCGACTGCATTTTTCCACAATTTCCAGACATTTGCATGCAATCGGAAAGACAAACAGATGTGGAAAATGAGTCCCTCATGAGCATTCCGATTCGAACAAGGAAAGACGTGTTGAAGTTGCCAATATTCTGATGCGCCGTTCCAAAAATCGTGGTTTCTTCGATTCGATTTTGACATCGGATGAGAAATGGATTCAGTGGGACAATAATGGGAGAAAAAAAACAGTGGCTGAGTCCTGGCGAGACCCCGAAACCGACTCCAAAACCGGACATCCACGGAAAGAAAGTGATGATATGTGTCTGGTGGAACACACGAGGTCTCGTGCATTTTGAACTTCTAAGACCTATACAAACGGTGAATGCGGACATTTACAAAGATCAGCTGGACCGTGTGGACCAAGCTCTCAAACGCCAAGGCGTGGACACTTCGACAACACTCTTGCTCCATGACAACGCTCGACCACACACTGCAATAATCATTCAGCAGAAAACTCAGGAGCTGGACTGGGAAGTGCTGCCTCATCCGCCATATAGTCCCGATTTGGCACCATCGGACTATCACCTATTCCGATCCATGCAACATCATCTGGCCGAGAAAAAATTCGAAAGCGGTGAAGAAGTGCAAATTTGGGTGGCGGACTATTTCGAGTCACAGCCAGAGTAGTTCTTCAAGAAAGGCATCGCTGAATTGCGCACACGTTGGCAGCAAGTAGTGAACAATAATGGAGAATATCTTATTGATTGATGATCTCTTGTTTTGGTTTTACAATAAAAGGAAGTTGCATCAAAAACGCGCATTACTTTTGCAAACCCCTGATATTATGATTAAAAATTATTAGTTGACAATTTTTTGACACCTTTCGTAGGAACAGAGATAAATTGGCTCAAAGTTAGAGGCCCTATTATCATAGGTTTTACGGTAAGTTTTTTTTTACAAATTGCATCGTCTGTGGATCTCATATTTTGATTTGAGAACTGCAATCTGCTTCCTGATCCATCTATTTTATTATTCATCATCTATTACTTCTGCCCCACCAATTCTTGACTTTCTGATTTTAATTCGGCTAAAGTTCAAGAAGCATATAAAGTTTGGAGCTATAGTTGCAGGTGAAAAACCCTCATTTTGGAGAATATAGTATTTTTTCAGAAAAATGTCACGTAGCAGATCTTGGTGTAACGAAAAAAACTGGAAGAAGGTCATAACAAGAAAATTATACAAAAAGTTAAATTTAAAAAAGAACTATACGGAAGGTAGGGTATTAGGTCTTTGGGTTGGCACAGTTTTCTTCGATCTCCAAACATTCAAAAACTGTTTCCGATACTCTTCACTTTTCCACATCGTTACATAAAAAGTGTTGCTATAGGAAAGAGCAATGAAAACTGACTGAAAATTGTTGAAAGGTTAATAAAGAAGATTACAAGTACCCACATTATGTGCAAATATCATTCTCTCCGTTTTCACCATTGCACCATCTCGAAGAAATATTATTGCGACAACTTGGCTGACGAGCCAGGTGAATATGAAAATAATTACCGAAAATTGAAGTCGCTTCATGATTTTCAAAGAATCATCATTTTGAGATCTCTCCATCTTATGGAACATTTTGATGAGGATTATATAAATAGCAGTGGTAACAAAACAAAGGAATAGTATTTGACATTTATGCAGCAAACTTGCTGGAAAACTGAATGCAAATAGTGGATTACAGGCCTGAATGGGCTCTTCGTTTGTTGTCAAGTATCCGTAGAACACAACAAATGAAGAGTAGATCAAAACAGGAATAGATACTGATAGCGTATACTTCCAAGTACTGAGATTATGATAGCTGAAACGGAATGATGCACCTTTTTTAAAATGTAAAAATTTACAAAATGGCAAACTTGACGGAAACTAAAATATCAGCCATTATAATCAACATAATCAAGACTTGTGCTGCTTGACAAAATATATAGAATGAAATATGAACAAAACAGTTTTGTCTTGTACGTGTGGATGGATCCATCATAAATCCGCCTAGTACGGTTCCAAACAGACAGACAATATGAAATGCACATTGAGCACATTGGAGAAGAGCTAAAACTTTGAAATCAAGAAAATTAACGGACACATGAAGTTACAGAAGGCTAAGTCAGAAATCGAGACCCATACAACTTTCAGGCCAGACGAAATTTGAAATTTTCAAAGTAGATGTGTTTGACCTGTTTATTTTCAATCGATACGGGCCGTTTTCGCTCATATTTGTACGTTTGATACTCAGACAACGAAAAAAAGAAGCCACAATCTCACATTCGCTGGGGCGCAATTTCTGACCAAGCTTTTTGGAACCCTGTGCGCGGAAAACTTTGCAGAAAAAGTAACTTACAAGATCTGGTACGCAGTCGGCGTTTTTTGTAGATCAAATGTATAAACAGTAAGTTTCCCGTAATTCCGAGGACAAATAAAATAAGTTTGTAGATAGTGACCACATTATTATTAATAGTCTCGCCATCCATTTTCACTGATTGAATGAAAAAAAACCAAGAATTGTCATAAATCATAGCAGGTGAATTTTATTTAGAGCAATAGATTATGATGTTTTCTTCTTCCGGGTTTTTGAGAATCAATTGGATGTGTCAATGGAAAACAAGCGAATAGACAAATAGTTTCATGAGGATCGTTCACAAATAATCTCAAAATTCAAAATCGACAAATATACTCGTAATCAAAAATAATGCAGACTGGAATGAGACAAAATAACTGAATGCGCTCAACGTTTGAAAACCCGAGAGTTTCTTCTATTTCCACTCCAAAACATGGAATTCTGCTAGACAGATAAAAATGAGGAAAGTGACAAAAATGAAAATAAGAACAGCGCCATGAGGCCACCTGACTGTAAATCGTTGGATGAAAAGAGCCACGAATGTTGTGGCAAGGGAGATTCCCAGGAATAGAAGAAGGATACGGTAGACTGGATTGATCAGAAGTTCAATCTCTTTTCCTTGTGCAGCTGCAATAGTGAATGGAAGACCGAATCCGATCAAAAGATCTGAAAGGAAAAATCGATAAAAACCGATTTCTTCTAGTGTTACTTACTAAAAAGAGGGCCGCCAATTGCAGCCGCCATTGCCATTTTCGGAAATCCTTGCTTCACAACTGCAATGTCCGCTACAATATCTCCAATACAATTACTCCAAGCCATGATTGTCAATCCCAGAAGCTCCATAGACAATCCAGTGACCACTCCAATCATGGTCACAACACTAACAATTTCATTTGAGGTCGCGTAAATCCATGCTATTGACATTAGAAAACCAAGATAGGAGTATACTTCCTTGTAATACTTTGGCTCTTTGCTTAATGGAAGAAAGTACATGGCGACCAAAGCGAGAACTGCAGACACGCCGAGCCCATATAGCCAGAGGCCTGGACTTCCTGAGGACGGTTGGAGGGTTATGACTGAAAATTGAACGTTCATGAAGTTAATTTGTAGGTAGTAGTAACTCACTTTGTATAGCGAAGAGTGCAAACTGAATCGAAGCGAAGCAGTGAAGAATGAAAAGTGGCTTACACCAACTCATCTCATTTGATGGAACGGTCATTTTGAAGAAGAACACCGGAACTATCTGAAACACTTATCAGTTCAATTCATGATAAAAAAATTTTTCGAGTACCTTAATGATAGCTACAATCTTGACGAGGATATTCATTTCTCTGAATTCCTCTCTACTTGGCCAGGATTTCAGATGGTTGAACAGATCCCAAACCCAATCCCATGATTTCCAAGTTGTCAAATGAATCTCCTCAATTTCAGTTGCAGCTAAACTGATCTGATCATGAGATGTGAACACTGTATGATGGGCATACGCGAATTCCTCCTCTCTTCCTTCGTCTCCACTATCTTCAGTTTCATCCAATGTATCCAAACTTTCTAGGTCAGTTTCGAAAGTGTCTGAAATAACTCTTATTTTTTATTAAGTAACACCTGGAGTTTTTAGACTCACTTTGCTGGAAAATTCTTTGAATTTTTGGTGGTGCATCGGAATCAAGAGAACCACTGAATCCCATATTAACAATTCCTTGCTTGATGTCGTTGTTATTGTTTCCAACTTCTTTTCGTTTCCGATTAGCCCGTGTCAGATTTTTCAAAAATTGAGAATATCCAATCATAAAATGGAATAGAGCTGAAACTGAAATCGCTTCCTCCTTCTTTTTGATCTCTCCATAAATCGGAACAGTAGATGCAGCGCTTTCAGGTCGAGACAAATCTCCTGATTCTCGATTCTTCTTTTTCAAATTTCTCTTCTTTCTTTGACTACGGTATATTCCAAAAATGATCACTGTCACCACATAGATTCCGTAAATTCCAAGGAATGCTGAAAAGATTTCTGATTTACATTGGAAATCCGGAGGCAAAACTTACTAGCTGGCATCCACACCTCAATTCTATCAAATTTCAGGAAACAGAAAACAATAAAAGCTAGAGTTATCATGTAAAAAATCAGATCTCGAAGTGTTGGAATTATCTGAAAAGACAATATAAATCATGAGATGATGTTAGAAGGTTACTCACAGCTACTCGGAATGATTTTGTGAAAATAATAATGGCCAAGACTACGGTAGTTACAAAAATACTCGTTCCAAACAAGTCTCCCAATGCCAAGTCAGCTTTTGGCTTTGGAGTTGTTAGGACTGATGAAATAGAACTGAAGACGTCAGGAGCACCGTTACCAAATGCCAAAAAAGTGACTCCCTGAAACTCAATTTTCGGTTTTGCGGAATTCCTTTTTTCAAAATACCCACCGCGATAGATTCACTCATTCTCAAATGACTGACAATTCCAGAGATAGCTGGACAGAAGAAGTCGTCCGCGATAGAAGACATGATGACGAAAAGAATGATGAGGTAGATGATTCCAAGAATGATAAGGATCACCTGGAAATAGAAACTTTGAAAAATTGTTATTTAGAGACCGAAATAGCTGACAAAGATATCAATGTTTGTTCTCAATGAGTGGATATCATCAAAACAAAACTTGATCCGGGGATTATCAAAAATATCACTTACCCTGACTCCGATATTATACTGACATTTGACATACATCGACCATGTGAGGTAACCTCCACCTTCACAGGAATCTTGATTGCACTTTATATAGGCACACTTTTCTGAAACCATATTTATTAGGAGCTTTATAGATTTTTGATAAAGCTAAATACCATCGGATGTCCAAGATTTGTCAATCATGCATTCTTCAGCTGAACACATTTCGTCGTCGAATGCCATTCCAGCATAGATCGAGACATTTGTGACTCCAGAATTAGAGCTCACACCTTGATAGTCGTAATTTTTATCGTAACCGTTTTGTGCACCAACTGATATGATTAGTAGGAAAAATAAAGAAAATATCCATTTCACTTTCCCCATTACAATAAATTAGGTCAAATGAAAAAGAGTTAAGTAATAGTTGTTTGTCTGTGTGTGTTCTCCGATATTTATACGAAGGTGAGGGAGGGGCCTAACAGTAAAGGAGCACAAGAAGGAATTCGAAACAAACAATAACCACACCAACCTTCTTTTTGGATCGTAAAAGAAGGAGGAGGTCAAATGAATGGTTCTGGTGGAGTTGGTTGGCTAGTTTATAGAGGAACTGTGTGTGTTGAGGGTGGGTTTATGTAAATTTAAAGTCGAAAAGTGAAATGAACTCCAGTAACTTTCAATGGCTAACTGGTCGTGTATTGGTCTTGGGGGCTATCAGTTGCGAACTGTTTGATGATGTCATCAGTGCGGGGTGAGAGAAAATAAGAGAAATTGAGATCATCTGAGAAATTGTTCACAGTTTGAGATAAGAGTATAGATTAAATGAAGATCAATCTAATTAGTACACATTAAACTCATTATGAAAACAATGAGTAATTCTGAATGGTTTCAAATTGGTCTGAATAAGTTTTGATAGTCTCGAATTTTGAAAGAAATACAGTAAAATCGGAAATAGAGAGCCTTTTAACTTGTCACTTTGATTAAGTTTCTCTCGTTTCCTTCAAAGATATGAAAAAGGATAATGGAGCTCAAACTTGACAGTGTGGGGGCGCTTCTATCGATAGTAGTCGATAAAAACTTTGAGGAGAATACAGTGTACTTTACAAGGGAGTGTCGTTCAGAAAGCTCTTCAGAATTTTCTCTAAATTGGTTCATTTATAGAATCGAGTATGGGCTTTTACGTAACAATAGTCGCTACCTGCAACTCTGGCTGAAACTCTAGCTATATTTTTAAATAAACAAAGGCTAGATGTATTTAGAAAAAAAAAAGAAAACTTTCGTAGTATTTTTCTGGATCAGATTTTTATTGCTTTAAAAAAAGTGTATATTTCCTTTTGGTACTTTTTGACAAATTTACTTTTTTTCAGAAAACAATTTTTCGAAATTTGAAACAAAAGATCGGACCGATTCACTCATGTTCTCCATGACATTAGAATTTGCAGTTCGATTTTCAAGTCCAATACTTTCTTAATAAGCATACTGGATCAAGGATAAGCTTTAGAATGTATTCCCATCCGATAAAAATCTTGACATAATGCATTTTTTTTCAAATCTCTTTTTTTTCCTCAAAACAATAATAAAACCATCGAATTGGTTTGTTAATCCTCACATTCCCATCAAAATCAACTTCCTTCTTTTCCTTAAGATACCAAACTGGTAATGTTTTGTTTCCGTAACTCCATTAACCGTAACTTCAAACCGAAAACAAAGTATAAAAAGGTCTCGGAAAACTTTTGCATACTGAGACAATCGGGGGAAAACAAGCAATAAAACGGTTTTGTTTGTTTATTTTGCATAACGACTTGCTTCAGATAAGTTTCATTGTTTTTTTTTCCTCAATGTGACATCATTTTTCCGGTGCTGAACCTTTGAACTCAGAACTCTTGCCTCCAAACCCACGCGACTTGCCAGACACTTTGATCTTCTTGTTCTCACAGCTCACTGCCTGCCTTTCTCTAAAAAACCATGTCTTTTAAAATTTCAGTAAACATTCAAACATAATTCAGTTCTACAAGATCAAATAATGTTTGTTTTTCAGATCACTACATCGGGGATTTTTTCTCCTGCGGTTTTTGTTTTTCTTTGCCTAACTAATTTTGTGTAGGTTTGGTATGAAAACGATGAGAAAACATCGAATGAAAGGGGCGATTTTTTAATAAGATGAACTAATATTAGGTGCGTGGGGTTTGCAGGGAGTGTGGGAATGTGATGTGATAGGGTTGAGGGTCAGCAAGATTCGAAAAAAGGAAAGAAAGGGGGTCTAAATATTTCTGAATTTCAGTTTATGCGGAAAGAAATCCGGAAACCCAAATTGATGTTTTGATCCATATTGTGTGACTCGATTATCTTTGTTCTTTCTCCCCAATATACCATATTTTCTCTAATAAGAGCAACGTTTTTAATATTCAATTTTTGGTGACTTCCGTAAATTATTGTGGATTTTAAGATATTATTTTTCAGCTAAAAATTTTTTTTTTTGAAAGTAAAGTATTGAAAAATAGAAGCCCATCCCTCTAATAGAATAAAACCATGAGAAGGAACTCGGAAAATAACAACTTTTTGGATTTTATGAGAGAAAATACGTTATTCCGATTTCATTATTTTTGAATTTCTGGCTCAAATCGACAAGAACTTATGGTGTCACACCACATTACAGGCCGTTTCTAACAAACAAATCACGTGAACAGGGTGAGCATTCGAGGGGAAAAAATCGAAAGAACTATGTTGTCTGTGAAACAAATATTGACCGATTTCTGAGCATTGTTCTCGCTCTTAAAAAGTGCACTACCACTTTTTGATTTGCAGATCAGTAACTTTTGTGAGTTTTTAAATCTTGGAGATCAGTTGTAAAACTTGCATTTCAAACATCCGAAGAACATGAAAATCATATCAGAACAAAATTCAAACAGAATCCTTTATTAAATCTTGGAGTTTTTAAATCTTGGAGATCAGTTGTAAAACTTGCATTTCAAACATCCGAAGAACATGAAAATCATATCAGAACAAAATTCAAACAGAATCCTTTATTAAATCTTGGAGTTTTTAAATCTTGGAGATCAGTTGTAAAACTTGCATTTCAAACATCCGAAGAACATGAAAATCATATCAGAACAAAATTCAAACAGAATCCTTTATTATCACACACATAAAAACTTTTGAACGAAAAATACTGAAGCGCAACTGAATAGACTAAAACATTGAAGATCACTGCGAAGTATCTAACCATGAATTTCAAATAAAAATTACTCGTATCAGGAGGGAATGCAAAAAATATAGAATGAAACTGAATGCGTAGTACCATTGAATGATTGTTTTGTTTTGAAACCCGATAATGACTATCACTTCCACTCTAAAACGTGGAACTCGGCAAGACACACAAATACGACGAATGTTACAAAAATGAGGATCAGAAGGACGGCATGAGGCCATCGAACTGTGAATCTTTGGATGAAAAGAGCAACAAATGTTGTGACCAATGAGATTCCCAAGAATAAAAGAAGGATGCGGTAGACTGGATTGATGATAAGATCGATTTGTTTTCCTTGAGCAGCTGCGATAGTGAATGGAACACCAAATCCAATGAGAAGATCTGAAAATTTGTACATTTTGAATGTTTCGTTGAACCTGAAACTTACTGAAAAGTGGACCACCGATGACCGCGGCCATTGCCATTTTAGGATATCCTTGCTTAACAACAGCGATATCAGCAACAATATCACCGATACAATCACTCCATGACATTACTGTCAATCCGAGCAACTCCTGTGAGAGCCCAGTGACCACTCCAAACATTGTGACCGCACTAATAATTTCGTTTGAATTCGCGTAAATCCATGCTATTGACATAACGAAACCGAGGTAGGAGTAAACTTCCTTGTGGTATTTTGGCTCTTTGCTTAATGGAAGAAAGTATAAAGCGAGAAGCGCCAGAATAGCAGACACGGCGAGTGCATATAACCAGAGACCTGGACTTCCGGCAAATATTTTAAGGTTGGTAACTGTAATAGTAGGATTCGGATGCGGAAAATCAGATATGAAACTCACTTTGGAAAGCGAATAATACAAGTTGGATAGACGCAAAGCAGTGGAGAATACAGAGAGGTTTGCACCAACTCATCTCGTTTGATGGGATCGTCGCTTTGAAAAAGAATACCGGGACGATCTAAAAATATAATGGGTTTCATATGAAAACTGTCATTCATGCTCACCCGGATGATAGAAATGATCTTCACAAAGATATTCATCTCACTGAATTCCTCTCTGCTTGGCCAGGATTTCAAATGGTTGAACAGATCCCAAACCCAATCCCAAGACCTCCATGTAACCAATTTTATCTCTGGAATTTCGGTGGCAGCCAAACTGATCTGATCGTGAGATGTGAACACTGTATGATGGGCATATGCAAACTCCTCCTCTCTTCCTTCATCTCCACTATCTTCGATTTCATCCAAAGTGGTTTCACTTTCAACATCTGTTTCGAATGTGTCTGAAACTAATCGATGTGATCGAGTACTATAGATTATCGTTTACTTTGCTGGAAGATGTCCGAGATTTTTGGTTTTGCAGAAATGTCAGAATCCAGTGATCCATCGAATGCGATGTTTGGAATTCCCATTTTCTTTTCATTATTATTGCTGTCATGAATCTTCCGTTGATTGTTTGGAATCGCAAGTCCTTTCACAAATTGACTGAACTTGATCATGAAATTGAAAAGGGCAGACATAGAGGCTTTCTTCTTATCCACTTCTCCGTAAATTGGAACTACGGAAGCTGCACTAGCTGGTCGAGACAAATCTTCCTCTCCTGATTCCAAACTTTTCTTCTTCAGATTTATCTTCTTTCTGCGACTACGATAGCAACCAAATATTATAACAGTAATCACATAAACTACGTAGATTCCAATGAATGCTGAAATGTAATTAGTAACTATGAAAGACCTCCAATGGAGCTTACTTGCTGACATCCAAACTTCAACTCTATCAAACTTCAGGAAGCAGAAAACGATGAAAGCGAGCGTTATCAGGTAGAAAATCAAATCTCGGAGTGTTGGAATTATCTGAAACTCGGTAATTTTGACATGCTGGGTTGCTGTGGACTTACAGCGACGCGGAAGGATTTTGTCAGAATAACAATAGCCAATACTACAGTAGTAACAAAAATACTGGTTCCGAAAAGGTCTCCCAGAGCCAAGTCAGCTTTTGGTTTGGCCGTTGTCAGAACTGAAGTGAATGAGCCCAAAACGTCCGGTGCTCCGTTTCCGAATGCAAGGAATGTCACTCCCTAAAAATAGCAAATTAGATAAACTAGACTTTTGATAATGATACCAACCGCGACAGATTCACTCATCCTCAAATGGGTAACAATTCCAGAAATGGAAGGACAGAAGAAGTCATCAGCAATGGTGGAAACCACGATGAAACAAAATGCAAGCCAGATAACTGCGAGGATTATGTAGAGAACCTAAAATGAAAGGGAGTTAGTTTCTAAGACCGTGAAACTGTAATAGAAGGGCCCCACACTATTAATTTTAAGCTCAATTATCTCAATTGCGGGATATTGAAAATGTGTCCTTTTAAAAACTATTTTTGAGTTTAAGATAGAAATTTTTCAGTTGATTCCTTTTTGATATATTTCACATGAACCGAGATAAATGTGGTCGAGATGAATGTGTGGATGAAGTTGTGAATCGCTCACCCTGAGTCCAGTATCATGCTGACACTTGACGTACATGGACCATTCGAGATATCCACCACCTTCACAAGCATCTGGATTACATTTGATATAAGCGCATTTCTCTGAAAATATTTTGGCGTTAAAAAAAGTAATCGATAAAAATAATTTACCTTCAGATGTCCAAAATGTTTCAAACGAGCATTTATCGGATGAGCATTGCTCTTCACCGAATGGCATTCCAGGATACATAGACATATTAGATGGAATAGAAGGAAAAGCATTCACATTTTGATAGTCAAAATTAGTATTGTACTGTGCGCCAACCGATATTACTGATATCAAAAAGACGATCCATTTTATTCTCTCCATGGAATTAGTGTTTTAGAAATGTTAGAATGAAGATGTTTGTCTGTAGACTCTTCTGTATTTATATACCTGTAGGGGGAGGAGCCTAACTGTGAAGGTAAGGAGCACAAGATTGTCGAAATGACCAAACAGTAACCAACCAGCCTCCCACATTTTTCGAACTCAAAAAAGGCGAAAACTGTGGGAAATCTGGTACGGTAATACAAATACTACGCTCGGTCATATGTCTGAAAGAATAGAATAGGAAGCGTCCTCCGTAAATTCCAAATCAAGAAAGAATGCACCCATAATTTCCAAAACCTGGACTTGTATTGGTCTTCCGCACGGGAGAGAGTGGGTCGGACTGCTGGTGAACTTTCAAAGACTTTGAGACTACAAGAAAATAGAAAATCTTAGATCATTGAGTTATTTACACTGTTTTACATTCGGATGATATTGCTGGGAGAACCTAAAGAATTGAAAATGAAGATATGTTTTAGTGTGCGTTGCTCAAGAAAAGTCAACGATGAGTAATAGAACTACAACTGTTTTGATGGATTAGTTTTTTCTTGTACATTTTCTCACTTGTTGATTAAACCATTGTTCACTTGAAGGATGTGTCATTGGTGGCGAGATTTTAAAAGTTTTGTTTTGTGGTCTGATAACAAGTCGGGAACATAAGAGTCAAGTCTATCATCTCGGCGACTCTCAAGAAGGCTCTGCAGAACCTCTGTGTTCTTTTTTGAAAATGTTTATTGATTGTTGGCAACAGCGGTTGGTCGTTTTGTTGTCCGTTTAGCTGTCAGATTGTAAGTTACCAGTCGATTTCCGCTACAATTTCCTGGATTCACTTAAAAGGTTTGAATTTCAAAATCGGAGAGAATCAGAAGACAAAGTTTTAGTTGATTGTGTTGTTATTTTTCATTAACTTAACTGACAGTTTGTTTTCGTCTCTCCGGGGCTAAATCTCCCAGCTTACATCATTTTTTTTTTGAATTTTCCTTTTTTTGAATTTTCTTCCTTTTCAACGCCGTTTTTCGGGGATTTCGGATTTTCTTTGAATTTTTTCGCAATAATATTTGAAAAATAGATAAATTTTAACACATTTTAATGCAATAAAAATTTCTGGTCGGAGTCCACCTTTAATAGTAAAGATAACATGAAACTAACAATTTTCATGATAAAGTCTATATTTACCGTATTGCCTATAATAGAAGCCCACCCAAACCATCATCTTTGAGTTAAGATATCTCGATTCCTGTGAAAGATATCTAGAATTTGTCAACTGATAAAACTTTGGTGATGATATGACGCATAATTTATCAGTTGACAAATTTTTGATATCTACTGGAATCTAGATAATTGAGATCGAAATTTACATTTTCGGTGGGCTTTTATTAAAATACGGTAACTTGTCCCGATGGTCTGGCTACCCCTTACTCACACATTTCGTCACAAATTTTGCTCTTCGTCAGATTGATTTCTTTTTAATCATGAACAGCAAAATTGAACATCACTTTCCGAAGGCCCAGAATCAAAGGGTCCATGAAATGTAAGGCGTTTTAGCCAAAGCCTATAATTTCCAGGAAAAAGTGAATTAGTCTGTAAAAAAAAATTGTTCGTCCTCCCAGGACCATGAAATCCCCTGTTTCTTTGGAACCAATGTACATTAAGAACTAGTGTATGCACCCTTTTTCAATGTAGCATTGGATACTGGGCCAATTTTTCGTAGAAAGTGTTTTTGTCCTTTTTCAGATCAATTTTGATTCTCTGATCCTTTTCGGACTACTGAAAAATAGTTATTTTTAATTCCTCCAAGGCACGTGCTTCTTTCGGCAAACCTTTGCGGGTTTGAGTTTGTGAAAGTGATCACAGTTTTCGTAGTTGATAGCGTTCTTTTTCCTTCTTCTCTAAATTCTATCATTGACGTCTTACATTCTATTCTGAGATCAATTAAGAACATATAAACTGAAAGTAAATAATGCGCAAGCCTTTTTTGTTGTGTTTTTTATTTCAAAACTATTGTATAGGATTCAGTTTACATTCCGTACAAGACTTATGACTTTCACTACAACTTTTTTTCGTCTAAATCGAACTTCATTTCCGTGTTCAAAACCACAAATTCTTTGTTAATCTCTCATTAAATTCAACTTCCTTTTTCTTGTTCCGCGCGCTTCCTTAACTGGTAAGCTTCTTTCCGCGTAACTTCATTTACCGAGGTAAAACCCCGATAACAAAATACTGTCGTTTCGGAAAACAGTTTTTTTTTCTTTTGTAGACTTTTCTCGCCGAGACTGTTGCCGATACTGTAGTAAGGAGGTAAGTGCAAATTTGAAAACAAGCAATATTTACCTTTTTCACAGTGGGTGAAAAACCTTGTTATAGTTTTTCATTGGTTTTCTTTGTTCTGACATCATTTTACCTTTAGAAACACGTGAATCCTATCCTACACACGATCAAATTTCTTCGAGTGAAATATCTGTTCGCACCCAGTTTGCAGGAAAAGTACAATTTCGGTAACACTCGACAGCGTAGTCTTTTTCTTGTTTTGAGAGCAAATATGTAACTTTTCTATCAAAAAACATGCAGAAACTGGTATTTATTTTTGCCAGTTGCAAAAAAAAAGTCAAAGGTTAACCAACTAGAAATTGTCCCTAAAGTATGGAGCCTCCATGCGGCAGCGCCGCATTGTTCTAACTGTTTAACTCCACGTAGCATTGTTGTGTATTCATGTTGTGTATTCTGTTGTTCGATGATAAACACAAATGTTTTGGGTCTCTTCTGAAATTTTCAAGCTTTTCAGATGAGCTGGTTTTTGAGTTTTTTTAAAAATTCAAAACGTTTAAAAAAGAAACAAAATTGTTATAGGCGCATGAAAAAAAAACTGTAACAGATGATAATATTTACATAACAGAAAAGTGATGAGAAAATGGACACTTGTGCTAATAAAAATAAAAAAAAGGAAAATGAGCACTTAGGTGCTAATACAATAGAAACATATGATTCAATTGTGAAAACTGTTAATAGATGAATGATCAGACTGCCGAATCATTTGGAGCACCTCTGTGGCTGATGCTTCCCGGAGTGTTGCGAGCTGGACCACCGACAAATCTCTGAAAAAAATTGAAATTTCAAACTATCGCTTCTTAAAAATCTCACATTAGAGTTGATAGATCTGGTAGAATTGCGGGACGATGTTGATCCTCCATGCGAGCTGCTACTTGGTGTTGCGAGTGATGAGCCGCTGTGACGACTTCCACTTCTAGAAGATCCGCTGAGAGGAGGAAGAAGTGGTGTGTTGAGTGCGACCGAGAAAACTTCCATGATAGTGCATGCACGACGACAGTTGTCGATTGCTGGTGATTCGCGAACCCATGCGTAGAATACTCCGTCATCAGTATCCGCTGGTGGATCCAACTGTCGCATATCCACTGGACCGAAGACTTCATTTCTTGCCAGTTGATCATGGCCGAGAATCAACTTCAGTGGTACTTGGAAGAGACGCTAAAATTGGAACGTTTTGAAAAACGATAAACATTTATTAATGGCTTACATTCTCTTCTTGTCCGATCACTTTTCTTGCCGAAAACTTCGGATTGGTGTGAATCTCTTCGATCAAGATTTCGCTGTCAACTCCTGCCGCTCGTCTTCCTCGGAATCGAACTCCACATCCAGCGCTCAAGTTGGAATTTGGTGGCAAACGGAAGTAGACGCTCGGATAGTCGCCGCTGATCACCGTATCCTTGCTGATGACCATTCCATGGATCGGTCCAACACAGAAAGTCGCCGCTGCCAGCCATGAGGCGAATCCCGACACGTGATCGTCATCGAAAATCGTTCGGACGATACGCCAGCGTACAGAACGGTTTTCGGAGGAGCGCACTGCGTGGATCTCAACCAACGCCTTCAATCCACCATGAGCAGCTGGATGGAACTCGGAAAAGCACAATGTGTGATGGGGATCGTCCAACAATCCGAGACTGTTGTCCGAGTCGGTGAAGAGTCCCCGAGAGACGCTTGGTTGACACGGACGAGAATCTGGAAATATTTATAAGTGGAAAACTATAAATTTAAAGAAGCTCACATTTCCACTGGCACTCGTAGAATATCCTCTAAGAATCTGGAACGGCAGCATTTCGGTGACTAGAAAGCCTTTATGGTGAATGGACCAAACGGCGCTGAAGTGGAAATATTCTCCAATTGATGGATAGATGAATGTTCTTTCCTCTCCGGGAGCGACTGCGACGGGTTTCAGCAATGGGATGATGAAATCGTATTGTGGTAGATCCTTGCACAAAAGAAGACGTCCACCGACGAAAAGACCCAATTGTCGATTGATTTTCTCCGCCCATTTGTCCTCTTTGACGTAGATATCCTTTCTCGGCTCCAAATCGATTTCATCGTCACTCTCACACGGTGTTGGCTCTGCAGGCAGCATTGAGAATTGGGATTCAACAGATCGACTGTGTCATGGTGCTTCGGAAACGCGTGCCTGGTCTGATGGATCGCAACCGGCGAATGAGTCGAACACGTACTCCAGATGATAGTTGTCCTTGCTGTGCCACATTTTTGTTTCCACTCGAATCCACGCCGTCAGCCATACGTTCGGCTCGGCAAGTGGTGCTAGATCAGTTGCTGGAAAAAGCAAGGTTGAAAAAAACATTAGACTAGAATTTTTGCTTACGAATGGTAACGTTTTCGAATGGAGTCCAGAAAGTGTTCAGCTTCATTGGACTAATGACGCCACCGATCCTCAGAAGTGGACCCAAATTGTTGGAAGACACCTCATAAAGCGGTTTTTCGCGTCTGAATCGGAGGACCAAACTCTCGTGATGATTAATGTCTGAATCGTTGAACATGACGATGTCGCCGAATTTGAGTGGAATCGCGTAGCGTCTCCTGAAAAAATGAATAATTTTTCTTCAATTTCAATAATGCAACCCACTCTAGGTTTTTGGCTAGCTCGAAATTATCGTAGCTCTTCTCGACGACAGGTGGAAGGAACGCATCCTTGCTGATTCCGTAGATGCGGTTCTTTGTGTATCGTTCCTGAAAACAAATATTGTTATTATTGTCATAAGGAAAAACACGACAAACCCTCTGAGATTTGAGAATCAGAACGAGGTCTGTCTCAAAGTGCTGATATTCTGCACCACACGACCCAATAACTAATCCTTGGTAGTCGTAGGCGATTGGTTTCGGTAAGTCGTCCATTTTTGAGGAAAACTGAGAACGTTGTGATTTGGGAATTTCGATACTAAAAACTAAATTTTTCAAAAAACATTAGCTGAAAATCTGGCGCTATGTTGGTTGGGGCCACTCTTTTTTGACTTTTTTTTTGGCATTTTCTGACTTGCGCATTAATTCTAAGCATGTTAGAAATATTTTTGAGGTGTCTGGACCTCCATAAAGTATAAAATAATATAATAAAATACAAATTCCTGTTATTTGCTTCTTTATTTTAGGCTTAGGCTAAAACGCCTTGGCACTTGAAATATGAATATTTAGAACTTTTAAACCGATTCTCGGGTAAGTTTTTCGGAAATGAAGCATTCTCAATCAGCATTTTTGATGTGATTTGCATTTTTCACCTATTTTGGCTTTTGTGAGTTGGGGCACCCAAATTTTTTGAATTTAGCGCCATTTTCGGATGTCCCAGTGGAAAGAAAACAAGGGGTTTTTGCCTAAGCCTATAATTTTCATATCTGCGGAAAAGATGGCCAGCCCGCGGGAAGGACCGGGCAATGGCCGGGCTGAGATTATTTCTGAAAGCGGGCCGGGCCGGGCCGGAAAAAATTACACATGGCCAAAGCAGAACCCAACAGAAATCTTATTTTTTCAGCATAAATATGGAGATTGAAGCTAAAGTACTGTGAAAAACAAAAAACTTAGACCAATTTCTGATGAAAATCTGGTAAAATTTTCAAAATTTTCCAGCAATCAGCTTAAAATTTTGTAAAAAATGTATTTTTATAGGAAATCTGATATTTTCAGCATAAAACCTGAGGCCGTATGCAAGAAAGTGGATAACCGTTTTCCGATGTTTGGAAAATGATTTTCTGACAGTGAAAAGATTTATTTCGATTTGAAAATGGATTCGGAGCTAAAAAATGACTAAAAATTCATATAATCACTGTAAAAATTCTTGTCAGACTTTCAGAAAATCATTTTCCAAACACCGGAAAACGTTTTCCCATTTTCTTGCATATGGCCTCTGATAA